GGTTGCTGAGAAGGCGGCATTTAAACAAAGCTCCCGAGGAAAGGAGGGCACAAATAGTTGGGCATCCTGGGAGAGACAGGCCCCTGGCGGTGGGAGCAGCAGATGGGAAGGTCCTGGGACCAGCAGCTTGGCACACCCAGGGAACACTGAGGAACCGTGCCTGGTCGCATGAGTGCTTTGAGAAAATGTGGGGCAGGAGAGTGAGGAAGAAAAAGGAGGCCAGGGGTCTGGGCGAGGGGTGGTGGCTGGTTGGGGTGAGTGAGTGCTGGGGAGATTGATTTGATGGGGCAGGGCTGGGTGTGGGTATGGTGGAGGTGCCCTGAGAGTTTGGCCTCATCAGGGGACACTGGCGGATCCTGGGTCAGCTCCTTTCAGCTGGTGAGTGGGCCACTTTAGGAAGAGGCTACCTGACCCACCTGGGCAAGGGACATGGGACAGAACGGGGTGGGCACCCCTGGGGCTGTACCTTCCCCTGGCTCGGGCCCTCCAAGGCGATTCCTATCCTGGCTTGGTCAGTGCCCGATGCTGTGTGAAAAGTCACGTGACCTGTAATGCCAGCGTTGAGTGCACAGCCACTTCTCGTTCCTGTCCTCCCTGGGCATTGGACCCCAGGTGGATCTCCAAATTGTCACTGCCTTGTATCTGCCCCACCCTCCTGTGTTTGTGGGCTTGTCTACCATGATCTTAAAATCCTCCATGAAGGTACCCCCTTTCTCCTTCTAGGAGGGAGCCATGGATCTGCTGCGGGAGCTGAAGGCCATGCCTGTGACGCTACACCTGCTCCAGGTAGGGCCCCCCAATGTCCCCTGTTTGGGACAGCTCCAGGGACAGCTCCTGGGGGCCTAGCAGGGCTCCCTGGCCCCCCGCCCTGTCCTTGGTTAGCACAAATACCTTCCCTGAGGAGACCATCCCTGCCTTTTTCTGTTTTTCTGAGATGGGGAGGGTCATCCAAGGGTGCCCCACCACTGAGACTCCTAGGTCCCAAATGTGGCAGTAGCCCTCGGAAAGAGTGTCCCCCTTCCCTTGCTGATCCCAGCCCCTGCCCGGTGGGAGCCTCCAAGGGTCTTGAGGGTCTGACACCTGCCCCCAACCCAGGCTCTTGCCTTGCAGTCCACCCGGGTCGGCATGTCTGTCAACGCCCTACGGAAGCAGAGCTCTGATGAAGAGGTGATCGCACTGGCCAAGTCGCTCATCAAGTCATGGAAGAAGCTCCTGGGTGCGCATCAGGCAGCATGGGCTGAGCACTTGGCAAGGGGCACCTTGCTGGTGCTGGCCAGCTGTCCCTGAGTCAGGGCCACCTGGGAATGGGGGCATCACAGACCCGTCCAGGAAGCCGGGGCTCAGGGTTGGGAGGAGTGAGGCTTGTACGTAGGGCCAGGAGAGAGGAGAATTAGGGGTGGGTGTAGGGCTTGGGAAGCCACACAGGAGGAACGTGTCAGGGCAGCAGAGGGCAAGGAGTTGCCCCCAGCCAGGGGAGCAGAGCAGGAGGAGGGGAGAGAAGGGCCAAGGGGTGAGGAGGAGGAAGGAGGGGAAGGGAGAGAAGGTGGAAGGTGGCAGAGGATGGGGGGCATTGCCACTCAGAGGGATTGGAGCAGCCTCTTTCTGGGGACAGCAGGGCGGCTGGGGGTCACAGAGGTGCCCACCTGTCTACCTGGAGCCCCCACTCCTCCTTCCAGCCTCTCCTGGGCTCTGTCCAAAGCCTGCAAAGTATGGATGTGTGTCCTGGGCCTCCCTCCAGTCCTGCATAGCCAGAGGGCCACATGCTGAACAACTGTGTTTATTTTGGTCGCAAGTGGGATGCTCCTCATCCCGTGGGAAGGCCCCCAGGGCAGACTAGGGTCTCAGGAGCCTAGTGGGGGGTGTGCTCAGTGGATGGGGGCTCACTGTGGTTCCCAAGGTCCAGTTGGGGAATGGGCACGTACTGCCCGCCTGTAGTGATTNGAGATGGGGAGGGTCATCCAAGGGTGCCCCACCACTGAGACTCCTAGGTCCCAAATGTGGCAGTAGCCCTCGGAAAGAGTGTCCCCCTTCCCTTGCTGATCCCAGCCCCTGCCCGGTGGGAGCCTCCAAGGGTCTTGAGGGTCTGACACCTGCCCCCAACCCAGGCTCTTGCCTTGCAGTCCACCCGGGTCGGCATGTCTGTCAACGCCCTACGGAAGCAGAGCTCTGATGAAGAGGTGATCGCACTGGCCAAGTCGCTCATCAAGTCATGGAAGAAGCTCCTGGGTGCGCATCAGGCAGCATGGGCTGAGCACTTGGCAAGGGGCACCTTGCTGGTGCTGGCCAGCTGTCCCTGAGTCAGGGCCACCTGGGAATGGGGGCATCACAGACCCGTCCAGGAAGCCGGGGCTCAGGGTTGGGAGGAGTGAGGCTTGTACGTAGGGCCAGGAGAGAGGAGAATTAGGGGTGGGTGTAGGGCTTGGGAAGCCACACAGGAGGAACGTGTCAGGGCAGCAGAGGGCAAGGAGTTGCCCCCAGCCAGGGGAGCAGAGCAGGAGGAGGGGAGAGAAGGGCCAAGGGGTGAGGAGGAGGAAGGAGGGGAAGGGAGAGAAGGTGGAAGGTGGCAGAGGATGGGGGGCATTGCCACTCAGAGGGATTGGAGCAGCCTCTTTCTGGGGACAGCAGGGCGGCTGGGGGTCACAGAGGTGCCCACCTGTCTACCTGGAGCCCCCACTCCTCCTTCCAGCCTCTCCTGGGCTCTGTCCAAAGCCTGCAAAGTATGGATGTGTGTCCTGGGCCTCCCTCCAGTCCTGCATAGCCAGAGGGCCACATGCTGAACAACTGTGTTTATTTTGGTCGCAAGTGGGATGCTCCTCATCCCGTGGGAAGGCCCCCAGGGCAGACTAGGGTCTCAGGAGCCTAGTGGGGGGTGTGCTCAGTGGATGGGGGCTCACTGTGGTTCCCAAGGTCCAGTTGGGGAATGGGCACGTACTGCCCGCCTGTAGTGATTGGCCTTTGTCGAAGTTCAAATGTGTGTGTGTGTGTGTGTGTGTGTGTGTGTGTTTGTGTTTGTACTCAGGGATCACTCTGGGTGGATGGCAGCCCCCTCCGGCAGGACGAGCAGTGGGGTGGACCCCAGAAAGGCCCACAGGCAGCCTGCTTGAGTGCGCAGCATGTGTGGGAAAGGTGTGTGAGGGCTCTCCTGAGTCTGGGCAGGAGAGGTGCCCAGTTGGTCATTAGCAGGAAGGCTCAGCACGGGGGCTGGGTAGGGGGCAGGGTTGGGGGCCTGGCAAGTCAGCTGAGGCTGTGCTTTGGAGATCTCCCCTCCCTGGCCTGGCCCTGCCCTTCCGCCTGCCTTCCCCTAGCCAGCCAACCCCCCACCCCCTTTCTGGGCACTTGCAGATGCTTCAGATGCCAAAGCCAGGGAACGGAGGAGGGGCGGGCCTCTGCCCACGACGTCCTCGAAGGAGGGCTCCGAGGCCAAGGATCCCAGGTAGCGCACCTGGAAGGCAGGTGCACACCCTCTGCCACTGGGGACCTACTTGCTCAGCACGAAGGTGCTGATTTCTGTGCTTCAAGCACGATGACACATGAACATGGGCCCTTTTAGCCTCTTGGAGGTGACTCTCCCTAGGCAGTCACACCTGGCTGGCCTCTTGGTGATGCCTCCCTTCCAAAGCTCCTCCGAACACTGTCTTCAGCCCACACCGTCTAGGGGTGAGGCTGTGTCCAGGCTGCAAAGAGGTGCTGCAACCTTGAGCGGGCTGGTGGGAGCCCCCTTCCCACATCCCTTGGCTCCAGGCGGGTCTTGGGCTGGTTCTCGGGTTGCACACCCCTTGAACTTGCATCACTCACTGCTGGCCTTGCTCTCCCTCGTGGGGTTATAGGGGCATGAGACTGTGATGGGAAGGCTGGAGAATGCAGCCTGAACAGCAAAGAGCCCCGGGGTGGGAGCTCCCAGCCCTATGAGGGGCAGCCATGCTGGTGGGCAGACCTGGCCTTGGGCAACTGCCTGCCCCACGTGCCTCTCCCCGATCTGGCAGCTGGTGTTGGGTGGTGTGGCCCAGGGATCTGGGCCTCCCTGGAAGCGATGCTGTCCCCATTGTGCCCCTGTTGCTGGGGTGGGGCATGCCCCACCCTGCTGGGCAGACCTCACAGGCACGCTGGGCTGGACTGCACATGCCCAGGGTCATGGGCTGCTCTCAGGGTGGAGCAGATGGAATTTAGGGGAGACTGGCTGTGACACTGGCTTTACTGGTGACCAGTGTGTCATGAGCTAACATGGCCCGAGCGGGCCTCTCTTTATCCAGCCACAAGAGGCCGGAGCTGCCCAGGATGCTGTCGACCCCGAGGATGACCACATTTCCCCCAGTGCCGGTCACCTGTGATGCTGTGCGCAACAAGTGCCGTGAGATGCTAACGGCCGCCCTGCAGACAGACCGTGAGTGCCCAAGTGATGGCCCAGTCCACAGTCACTGAAGCCACGTGGGTGCTGGGTGGAGCCAGCAGGGCGGCTGGTCAGGGCTGCTTCTTGCAGGTGACCACATGGCCCTCAGTACGGACTGTGAGCGCCTATCGGCCCAGATTGAGGAGTATATCCTTTGTTCAGGGCTTAAGTAAGGGCTGGGGGTTTCACTGCCCTGGCGCTTTTGCCAGGCTGTTGGGTGGTGGGGTAGGTGCACCCCAAGCCTGCTGAGGGCTGATTCTGCCTGCTGGTGGGGCCTGGGTCCCCGGGACCTTGAGCCTGAAACTGGGACTCAGCCAGGACTGGGTCCGGGGTGGGCTGCCCAGCAGCCCCTCAGCTCACCTCCAGACCTGGGTGGGCAGACTAACAGAGCACTGGGCTCCTCTTCCCATCCCAGCCCCCACCCCTTCTGACCCCACTGGGAGGCCCTCCCTGGCCTGGCAGGGTGGGTGGAGGGCAGCAGCCTCAGCCTAGGAGGATGGGTCCTTAAATGCCTGCACGCATCTTCCGGGATGTGGGGAACACGGACATGAAGTACAAGAACCGTGTGCGGAGCCGCATTGCCAACCTCAGGGATGCCAAGAACCCCGACCTGCGGCGGAACGTGCTGTGTGGCACCATAACGCCCCAGCAGATCGCGGTGATGACGTCAGAGGTGAGCCTCCCCGCCCCTCCCCCCATGGGTGGTGCTGTCCTGTGAGCTGGGGCTGAGCAGCTAACCGGGTCCTCCAGGAGATGGCCAGCGACGAGCTGAAGGAGATCCGCAAGGCCATGACCAAGGAGGCTATCCGCGAACATCAGATGGCCCGCACAGGTGGCACACAGACAGACCTGTTCACCTGCAGCAAGTGCAGGAAGAAGAACTGCACCTACACGCAGGTGCGCCGCTGCCACCACTCGGGGCCCCATTGTCAGAACTGACCCTGTGGGTGGGGTCCACACTCTTGCACCTGGACACATGGTGTGAATGGTGCCAGGGCTGGGGCTCAAGCCAGGGAGTGATGGTCACTTTTGGGGCCTCTCCCCTTGCCCAGGACCCCTGGTTCCCAGTAAGCAGTGTCTGAGGGGGTGGGTCCTGCTTGCTGTGGACACTGAAGTTGGGACACCTGGCCCAGCCCAGCATGGAGGGGCCTGAGGACTGTTGCTATTGGCGGGAGGGGGTGGGCCCAGGCCCGTGGAAGCTATGCTACTGTGGACCCCAGGAGATGTCGGGGCCCTGGTAAGAGGAGAGTGGTCAGGGTGGTTGGAAGGCTGGGTTGCTGGGGCAGCCTCAGCACAGGTCACCCACAGAGGCCCCAGGGCTGCGAGGCCATCATGGGTGGCCTCCCATGCTGTGACTCTAGGGAAGACCTGATGCTTGGGGCCTCCCACTCCAAATGATAGCGTCTCAGTTCCCTCTGGGCTGGGGGCCCTCACCACGTCTCTCCCGCAGGTGCAGACCCGCAGCTCTGATGAACCCATGACCACATTCGTTGTCTGCAATGAGTGTGGGAACCGCTGGAAGGTAGGTGGGTGAGCCCAGGCCCTGCAGCCCCCTCCTCTGGGGGTGGGTGTCTTCAGCCCATGTAGGATCCAAGTGGTGCGAATTGGGGGACAACCCTGCTCAGCAGCCTCCTGGGAGCTCTGGAGAGGGTAGTAGAGACCCCTCCCCTACCTCCTGCCCTGTGGGGTCACCAATGCTGAGTGGTCAGATGCCTATCCCCCCATTCCTTGCAGTTCTGCTGAGCCTGCAGCGGTGGCCAGTGCTGGCCGTTGCTCTCCTCACATCCTGTCAACAGACACAGCTTCTCTGGAGACCCGCTCTCTGCCCTCCAGGCTGTCCCCAGAAGGCAGCACACCTTGCCCTCCCCCATCTGCAGTGCACCTTTCTCCCAATTATTAAATGTTTCTTTTTGCCACTGTGCTGTCCTTGGCTTTTGGCTCTGGTGGGCCATGCACAGGCTTGGGCTGAGGCAGCCCTCCTTCCTGGGGTCAGGTGACACTTGGGTGTGGCCCTGGTGGAGCAGTGCTGCAGGGAGTGGGTGGGAGTGGGCCTTGGCACACAGAGGACCTGAGTCTCTCTCCCCAAGCACTGCTGCTCAGGGCCCAGGGCAAGCTGGGTCCCACAGTGTCTGCTTGCAGCCCTTTGTGATGGCTAGTCCTCACTCTGCCTGGTTTTGGAGGCAGAAGGGTGGGGTTGGACCCCCGACTGGCTCTTGGGGCCCCGGACCAGATGCAGTATTGAATCCCTTTGTGTCCCAGAAATTCATGGATGGAGTGGCCAGCGCATGCCTGAGAGACAGTGGAGGTAACCTTGCCTGGCACCCGGGGACCCTCAGGGAGGTCACCCCCATGTGTACAGCCCCAACCTGCTAGCCTCCAGGGATGAACTTTGATGTGTTCCAGGACCCTGCCCATCCAAGACTTGGGCAGTGCTTCTCATTGCATCACTAGTCTTGGCAAGGTGCCGAGGGGCCACACCTCCCGGGGTCATGGCACCCTCACCTTGCAGGGCCCTCATTTGAGGAGGGGTGGGGTGGGGCAGAGCTCCTGGGGCAGGTCCCCTCAGAACCCGGCTGCTCCTCTGCCCTAGGTCTGAGATGTGGAAAGAGAAGAGACTTGTTTTAAAAATATCTTCAATAATGAGAAATCCCATTTTGGGGGGAGGCAGAATGGAGATAAATATAAAAACTTTTTTTTTTTTTTTAATAAAATACAGTGAAGACATGTTTCCTGGTTCAAAATTAACGAACATAGAAGAGAAAAACTGGGTCCTGTCACCTTGAGCCTGGTTTGGACATTCTGGGTTTGATTCCCAGAAGCAAAGAGCTCAAGCTGGAGGGTCTCGCCAAGTCACAAAACTAGACAGTACAGAGGCCCTCTTCTCCACCAAAGGCATTTCTTGAGGTCCCTGGCTGCCTGGGGCAGGTGTCCAGTGAGGCTGGTGGGTCCAAAATGCCTCCTGGAGGGTCTTCCTCTCAACAGGCAGCTGGTCAGCACACCTGCCTAATAGGACCTCAGGGCACTAGGTTCTCTGGGTGGCAGGTGCTCCTGGCCTGCCCTGCACCTGGAGCTCCTGCCTAGGACAGCCCCAAGGGTGCTGGGCCTGGTGTACCTGACACCAGCTGCCACACATGTGGAAGGTGACCTGAGTCTCTGCCCACATGAGGGGGCAGTCTAGGCCTCATGGGAAGACTGGGAGTCCCCCCGGAGCAGCAGGGCACGGTAGGCGGGGGAGCTGAGGAAGCGGGGGTAGGAGTCCCGGTGCATGAGCGTGTAAATCTGCAGCTGCGCGTCGTCAAACGTGTGTGCAGACGGCTCCTGCATCTTCTTGTTGATGCCTTCCCGGACGCGGGAGTCCAGGCTCACCTCCTTGGGGGACAGTATGGACACATAGTCCTCGTAGATGAGCCGTGCCTTCTCGTCCACCACGTGCTGGTTGGCCTCGGCCTTGAGCTCCTCGCAGGCCAGCCAGAAGAGCATGTTCTCCTCGCTGTACTCTGTGCGCAGGAATGCCCGGAACGCACTGCGGCCCGCGGGGCTGTGCATCAGCTTGTCAAAGGACTGCGCCCAGCTCTGCACCTCCTCAGGGCTTGGCGTGCTGCTGGGGCACCCGCCGCCAGGTCAAGCACCCGTTGCTCCCCCCAGCCCCCCAGCCCGCAGATGTTCAAGACCCCAGACTCACCAGGCTTCGCAGCTGGGGAGGGGCTGCAGCTTGCTCTCCCCGGAGGCCCGCCATGCTCGCCGTCGCCCTTCACTCCTGATGGCAGACACACAGGCCCTTGTGTGAACATGGGACGCTCAGCATGTGTAGGTGTGAGGCCTGGGGCTCTCAGCACGCGTGAGCGCACTGCAGGTGGCAGCCCTGGGATCTGCTCCTTCTACCCCTCCTGTCCCAGACTCAGGGCCAAGGCCGCTTCAGCTGCATTTGACCCAGGACCTCTCCTGTGTCTTGCCTTTGGGGCTTTCACAGGCTCCCGGGGTACCCCCCCCACCCCCGTGCCTAACCTCATTTGCCCCCTTTCTTCCAAAGGCCCCACTGATGGAATGGGAAAGCTTCTGGCCTGAGAGGTTGACTCCCAACTCCCCCTAGGAGCCTGTCTTCCCTCCTGTGGCTCCTGGCACCATGTCAGGGCTGGCTCCCAAATCCATACCTGGCTAACAGACACCTCACACCAAAGCATCCGCACAGAACTCAGCACCTACTGCCGCCTGTCTCACCCTAAACCCTCCCTTGGCCTCTAAAGCCAAACTCAGTGAGTCCTAACTCTTCATGTTCTCCCATTCACAGGCCACCCCTCTTCCACCTTGAGTCTGGGCTCAGGCCTCGCTTGCTCATGGGTCAGTTGGTCCCCCTTTGGTTTCCCACAGTGCTGTACTCAATAGTTGAGGGCCGGAAGCCTGAGTAGCGCCAGGCCTCTGAAAGGCACAAAAACTCCAACAGCTTTCCAAGTGCCTACAAAACCCTGGGACCACCTGGAAGCCCCACACCCACTCTAGCACACTGCCCCTTAGGCTCGTGCCCATTGTCCCACGGACAGGTCTCTGCTTAGCACCCCTCCACCTGATGGTCTGGCCCCCTCTAGATGGCCCAGGGCCAGCTCTAGGTGGTGTAGGTGGTGTGTGTGCTGAATAAAAGGACAGAGGGGCACGCGCACACGGCCTACCAGTGCCTGCGCACCAGGCAGAATGCCAAACACAAAGGGGCCTGGGCATTGGCTACCGGCTACCAGAACCCAACAGCCCCTGGATAAATGTGGGTGGCAGAGGAGTCTTGCCTGCAGGCAACACCTCAGAACCACCCAAGGGTCAGGGAGTGGGACCTTGGGCCCAGGTCTGCTCCCTCCCCCCC